GTTCCGATGAAATGATGAGCAAGATCCAGTCCTTGGTAAAGTACTGCCTGTGAGTGCGGCAGGATATCCCAGTTCTGGAAAGAGTTTTTGAAATAATTTCGCAATAAAAAATTATGAATTCACGAGTTCTTGCTAAGCAATACTAGCAATATTAGGCCAAAAGTCCTATATCTAATAATTAATTGTTTACTGAGTTAATGCAGTCTTTGTAGCTATAAAAAATTAATATCGAGTGTCGCCCACTAAAGAAGCTTAAAGGCAGGGTGTGCAGACTCAAAATCACTTAAATTTCAAAATGTATTTTCGTCGTGGTTGTCCACAAATCATGCAAAGCTGGTAAGCTTTTTTGTAAAAACACTACGCATCTCTGTATAATTTGACTTTTTGGGCCTCACATGACAGCGCAGTTCTATCGTAGCAGTGTATCATCTTCTTTAACAATTACTGTGCAACTTAGAGCAATAAGGCTGCTCTTTATGTGCAGCACGAAAGCAAGGAATATAAAAATGTGCATTGAAAATGTCAACTAAATAGTTCGAAATTATGCATTCAACTTTCCTCCGCACTTGCCTTCTACAGGGGCAATCGGATAAAGTCCGAGCGTTAGCACGTGCCAATAGCAACCATCCGCTGGTAAGGCTATCAATGGCTTCCTCCTCCAAGTTGACTGCAGGCAAGCTGATGGCTGTTTCAAATTTCTAGCGTGCGCCAGCACCAACTTACCATCGAAACAAATAAACGATCGTGGAAGGCAGCTGTACAAATACACCAAACTGTTTTGGAAAAGCAATAATGTCAATGCAGCAGCGCTATTTAAAATTTCAGGCTATAGCAACGCTGAAAATTACTAGCTAAGTCCAGCCTGACGAGATAACGACCCGTTGCTCTACTTGCGAAAAAAAAAAAATCTTCGACCCTTTGCAAAGCAGAAACACTGTTAGGATTTTTCAGTTTTTAATTAATCACATTTAATCCCGTTATCTCTTGCTCCTTTACTTTTTGGAATAACCTAATCGACTTACGAAACGGAAAATTTCTGGTTAATAGAGTAGTGCTGGCGGTTTATTACGACCTTTACCTTGCTCTTACAGCCCGTCTCGTATAAAGGAAGTTAACAGAAGATGATTACTGACTGCAAAAACAGTGCCAGCAGACGTGATTGATGTCTAAATCAGAAAAAAGTTTCAGGAGAACAACAGCGTGTAAAAATGAGTTACCAGTTGGCGAGGTGACTATTGGGAAGCCACAGAGCGATTCGATTTCGACCCATCGCTGATGACACTCATTCATCGCCAGCGCAATCTTCTCCATTCGCGCTCTGCAGTGAAAGCTTTATAAGCACAACACATCGATATGTAAAAAATCAAGAAAGAAATCCAAAACGGGTTGAGTAAGGCCAGAGAATGAAGAAAAAGCCTTTTCCCGAGCAGCAGCGGATGTTTTGCCTGATGCAGTGAAATATGAGATTCCAGAAGCCGGTGGAGCGACGAGCGGACTGGAGGAGGCATGAAGAAGTAGTGAAATGAGAGAGGGAGAGGCAGAAATCATCCCTCGAAAATTTCGCAAATATTTTTATAAACGACCAAAAACGATCCAGTGTTTCTTACTTAAGGGAGAAAATGCGCGAATCGATGTGATCAGTGCCAGCAGAAGCGCCAGTGGCTAGCTTAATGGAAGAAACAATGCTTGATTGTTTTCTGCGAAGTTTATCGATGTGCTCAATAGCTTCCCGCATTTCAGCAATGCATTCCATTCGCTGCTGACTGATATAACTCATCTCCAGCTCGCTCGTCCTGCAAATTCAATGGTGCAGTTGAATGAAGCACGAATTTAAAGAAAGTTAACTTGTTGTAAGGACCAAAAAATACATGGTCGAGTTGTGCGATTTCAGCTAACTGCCTGCGAAACCGATGAGTTAAAGCAGTCCTACCAGCGACCACTTTCAATCTCGGGCAACTTTTAGGTGACCAAGCATGAGTTAGCGTAGTTCTCTTTCCAGTCTAAGACTCCGCAATGCCACACTTCCACACTCTCAGTAATCACCCACTGGCTAACAACGATACAATGACAAACCTTCTTAACAGTGGCTGCAAGGCAAGCGGCGCCGAAATTGAACTTTCTAACAAACGTTCAGCTTCCAGAAGTTGCGATCTCAGCTGAAAGTACGGGTAAGATCAGTCCAGTCCATGTCATGACATATCTAATGAGAATTAATGGCACGGTGGGATGCTCGCCTTGCCAAAATGCAATTAATGGCCAACATGTTCTTTGGTATGTATAATATTTCGATCGATTATCTCCAAAGAGTATCGCTGGGAAATTTTTATTTTCAAATACAGTACAGAATATAAGTTCTCTTTATACTTTTTTTTTACGACAGAATACGTAATTCAGCCGAGATAAAGCCACAACAAAACGGAACTCATCAAGGCAATCCAGTATAAATGAATGTCAGGCACAAATCCTATCACTGTGCAAGCTGACAGCAACTGGCATGACTCAGGGAGACAGCTTAGCTAGAAACAGAGAGGTATATAAGCTCAGAAGGAGACCATTTGGGAAATGGGGGACGAAGTTATAAAATATAAAATGAATGGACTTGCTAAAATACAAAAGACAAAAGGAGAACTGTGCGAGGCATACTAAAGCGTAGCTAAAGGAAAGCGGGGCAGACGAGCTGAATAGGCATGTTTGTGTGCAGAAGCGAAGGCGAAGGTACTCCAAGCAAAGCGAGTGGCGGTATGTGCCAAAAGCAACCACTCGTTGGCAACGTTGTCGATGGATTCCACTTTCGAGGGTTGCATACAAGCAAGCTGATGGTGGAAGTGTGGAACTGTAAGACTGAACTAAGCAAAAGGCTGATAGACTGCGTTAGGAGACAAGCATAAAATATTTCGAAAAAAAGGACGAAAATGGTAACGGAAGATGCAACCCTCACCGTTTCAACTTGCTCGCTTTCAGGTGTGTCGCGACCTGACTGTCGCTTCTTTTGCTGTTCTTCAAATCTGAAATAAAAGATTTCCAGACTTACGATGCATTTTCCTGCGCTGTACTACAGGCATAGTGGGAAGCGAATGTTTCGCTCTTTCAGGAAAATTTTTAAATGCTTGGAGGCCTAGCGCTGCCACAACTCCGACTGCTCCCTGATTACTCCCTATAAACCAGTTATCTTCTGAACATCAGGGAGTAATCGGTAGCCTCGAATCAGTCCGACCCTGGCATCTCTAGCGAAAGATTCATCCAAGAATAACTACTCCTCTATATTAGAAGTAATAAATTTAAGTAATCAAGCGAAGTGATCGAAAAGTACCGCTGCTGAACATCCTCGAAATGGCTTTGCATTGATTTGAGTTGCGATAATTTCGAGGCAAGCTGTTCCATTTGC